AAGAACCAATATCCAAAAGTCTGAGGCATACTATAAAAATCAAAGATGGCCAGACTGAGTAAAAAACAAAAACTAATTTTAGCTACATTTGTTTACAACTAACAAATTAAGCTGTAAGAAAAAGCTGAAAATGAAACAATAAACATAGACAAGCAAATTCCAAACATGAATAAGTAGAAGTAAAAATATTTATACCAGAAAGAGGATTCAAGGTCAAAAGCATTAAAAAAGAGAAAAACCTTTAAGAACAAGAATATACTGTACATAGACAGTATAACATTAATATTCTTTTAAGCATCAAATAATATTGCAGTTGTATGTATCAAGAAAACACATTAGAAATAAAAAGTCAAAGCAATAAAAACACAATTATGGTGGAAGGTTTCAATATAGCACTTTCAGAATTTGACAGGTGAATCAGACCAAAAAAAAAAAAAAAAGCCCAGAAAACACATAATCAACAACCTCAGTTTAACAAACTTATAAAAATAATATCATTCTTCACATTACAGATTGTTATTCTATGGCTAAAAAAAATTTAATAAGATTTTATTAAAATAGATGTTATCATAAGCAATATTTCCTAATCTGATTCAAGACAATAACAAAAATAGCAAAATAATAACCAAATGTTACCCACCTAAAAATCCATAATAAAATGACAAAATCAAAACTGATATTATGAATTATCTAGAAAGAAAATGGGCCACTCAAGACACCGAAACCCAAGCAGCTAACAAACAAACATTTCCCTGATACTGCTTAGGGAGATGTGAATTAAGGCAACAAATAAATACCACATTTTACGTATTAATTTAGAAAAATGAAAGTGCAACACATTCAATCTCAACAAATGAATGGAATGAAAATTGCATTGTCATAATTTACTGCTGGAACTGCAAACTGATATGGTTTTTTGAAGAATATTCATTATTAAGATGTTTTCTGGAAACTTCTGTGATAATAAAAAAGGAAACATCTTGCAAGCCCATTAAGAACAGAATAATTAAATTAATTGTCACATGTATTCGAAGCCATCTTATGCAATCATAATATTGAGATAACTGTGGGAATTTAGAGAAATATTGACGATGAATCGTTAAGTGGAAGAAACAAGATGTGATTAATGTTGTAGAATATTGATCCCATTTCTATAAAATCAAACAATAGCCCCACATGTTCAGAATGAAGTCCTTTACATTTATATTTTATGATAATGAAAATGTGGAAGGATAAACAAGTGCTTTTAATAATAATGTATTGCAATATAAGCCTAAAAGTAGGCGTTATAAGTTTGTGAAATTTGAAGAGGAATATTTAAAATTTTAAGAAATTCTAGACATTTACATTCAGTAAGATACAATTTTTGAAAATCCAGGCTCTTTAAAGTTCTTTACCTCTATCTACTTAGTTAAGAATTTATAGTCTCATCATATATCTCTTTCAAAAAACTGACTGGTAATAACTGAAAGTTGGACAAATGCAAAATAGTCTTGTGACTCCACAGGGCTGCAGATTCAAAGCTGAATGTTTTACCTCTTGGATCTCAAATTAAACTATCCTCACAGCATGCTATTTTAATCCTTGCAAAATCTTAGGACAAATGAATAAATGCTTTACTTTTAATTTAATTTGTTTTTGTTTCAAAGAAAGTACATCAATCAGGATTCAACAAGAAAAGCAAATATATATTCATATGTATAATACATATAAAGGAATATATCCATATGTACACACTGATACATACATAAATGTATATATATGCACACACAAATAATTTACATATTATACTCTGGAATATGTAATTATATGTAATCACATAATTATATAATTATATAACCACATAATATATAAAACTTAAGGCAAATCCTTTTCATAAATCCATCTGTTGCTAAACCATAGAGCTCACAGATGCACAAAAAAATCTAAAACAGAAGAATTAAAGAGCACCCTGGCAACCCCAGACATAAGGTAGAATTCCATGAGAAAAGCCTGAAACATGTACTCATTCTTATTTTTCTAACCCTGGTGGTATGAGTATCCTACAGGAACGGAGAACCTTCCTCAGGGAACTAAACACCTACACCTTTACTCATCAGAAAAGTGGAAGAAGGATTCGGGGGACAGTAAAGCAGTTGCCTAGCTGCTGATTCAGGCTACCAAGGTGAGTCTGTAAGTCAACAACAATGTGTGTGCGCTACAAAATACCCACTGCTTCCCTTTGGCTCCAAATTTCCCAAGAATCTCCCTTGTAAGCTACCCAAATGGAAACATTTGAAAGGGAATTCTGGGAAATATAAATTTCGCTTATCCAGTTTGCCACATGACATACCACAGAATGGACTTGGTACTCGTTAAGAGCAGGCACTCTGAAAAGAGACTACTTAGGTTCAAATCCCGTTACTAGGTGTGCAATTTGGGAAAGTGACAATTTTGCTCTGCTTCAATTTCTCATCTGTCAAATACAGACCATATTACAGCCTCACATTATGGCAATTAAGTGAGTACGGGTGGATATCTTTGAAACACAGACACTAAGGACAATAGAGTTGTTACATACTATAATTTGAAATTACTTTTAGCAATTAGCCTTCAAATACCTCCTTCACATTTTCTCAGAAAAAAAAAAAAAGTATGAATGATACGGTTTTAACTAACGTGAAATATTTTCTTTTGTTTTGTCAACCCAATTGTCTTGCCTTGTTGAAACAATGATAGCACAACTCATGGAATGGAAAACTGTGATTCATGGACCATCTGTGCCATGTGGCCTATTGTTGATGGCCCACAAGCTAAAATGGCTTTTATATTTTTAAAAGTTGTTAAAACAAAAAAAAAAAAAGGAAGAATGAGACTACATGTGGCCCGCAAAGCCTAACATATTTACAATCTGACGCTTTACAGAACATTTGGCAAACCCTTTTCTGCAAAAAACAGTGCTCACTAAAGATGTGAACCACATATTTGAGCCACCTATGCATTTTCCTCACATTTTAAGTAATAAATGAAACAGGTGAAATTAATTTTTATTTATGTTTTTAATTAACCCAATATATTTAAAATATTATTATGCAAATATGCAATCAATGAAAAATTAGTTATTACTAAGAGATTTTAGGACATTACCATTTTACAGAGTCCCCGCATAGCTTTTGGTGGATTTCTTGGGAGAAATACTTCAGGCCAGGAGAGAGGCCAGGAATGATTTATTCAAAGTGCTGAAAGGAAAAAAAAAAAAAAGGACTTTCAAATAAGAGACTAATAAACTTTGGAAAGTATTAAGACATCAAATTCAGCAATATATAAAAAGGACCAAGTGGGCCACCCCAGATATCCAAGATAGAGCAAACATTTGAAGATCAATATAATTCATCATATTAACAAAGGATAGAAATACAGAGCATCTGTGAAAAACTTACAGACAACTTCATAGTAAGTAGTGTAAGACTAAGTCAGATCAGGAACAAGTAAGATTTTCTGCTCTCACTATTGGTATTTGACATAATATTGAAGTTCTAGCCAATGCAATGAGGTAAGAAAAAGAAACAAAAGTCACTTAAATTGGAGAAGAAGTAAATCTGTCCGTATTCTCATAAAACATGATCCTGTATGTAGAAAATTCAATGAAATCTTTAAAAATAGCCACCAGCTCTAGTAAGTTAATCTACAAATTTATAAAATACAAAGTAAATATACAAAAATAACTTTTATACCTTGGTACCAGCAATAATAGATCTGAAATCAAAGTTTTTAAAAATAATACCATTTACAACAGCATCTAAAAGACATAGATTATTTATGGATAACTCTGAAGATATATGAAAGCCTGTACGCTAAAAGTTCTAAAACTTTGCAGAGATAAATTAAGGAAGACCTAAATAAAAGAATAGATATGCATTTGTCATAGGTTAGAAGATGCGATATTTTTAAGATATCAATTCTCCCCAGTTGGTGATAAACAATGCTATTTCAATCAGTGTGGCATTTTATTTAAATTGACAAGCTGATTCTAAGATTCAAATGGAAATTCAAAGGCCCAAGAATAATCCAAATAAGTTTGAATTATAGCAAATTATAGCAAATTTTGAGGACTACAACTATGTAAAATTAAGACAAAGAAGGCTACCATAACAAGTATTAGTAAAAAAAAAAATAGATTAACGTAACAAAATAGGTATGATAGTAATAAATCCATGCATAGACAACTGGTTTTCAACACAGGTGAAAGGATAGTTTTATCAATATATGTTGCTAGAACAATTATATATTTATATATATTTTTAAAAAGAATTTTAATCCATACTTTGCAACTGTGGGGTAAAGGGAAATTTGCCCTTTCCCCCTGAAAGTTCACTGAAAGATCAACTCACAATTAAGGCAGATTAATAAGAGAAAGGATTTATTTGCTGTGCACGTAGGGAGAAATCAGAATGCTAACTCAATTTTCCAAAGGAGTTCAGGAGGAGGGGGAAATTGAAGAGGTTGTTAGGGAGGTGGAACGGATGGGGGAGAAATAGATTGACTTGTAAATTAACCTGGGAGACAGGTGTTTTTGACTCAAATAATTTGAGCTGGGTCCACCTACATTCCCAACTCATTCCTGAAATAATTTGAGATAAGAGGGAAGAGTAGTGAATTGTCCCCTCTGATTCTCTGATCAAGCCAGTCCAGGATGCAGATGGAAGGAAGGCCTCCTCCAATGTTTCTTCACCTTGAACGCCTTCAGTTCGAAATATTCTTTGCATCAGAGACTCATATTATGAGGTGAAATTTCCTTGGCTCCTTCGCAACATAACAATTAAGTCAAAATGAATTATAGATCTTAATGTCAAACCTAAAACTATAAACCTTCTGTAAGAAAACCAAGATCAAAATTCTTGTGACAAAATTGTTTAAATATACCACCAAAAGGACAGTCCATAAAAGAACAATTTGATAAATTGAACTTTTTCAATATTAAAAACCTGATTTTCAAAAGATACCCTTAAGAGAAGGAAGTGATGCTTCACCTGGCAGGGGAGATACCACGATCACAAAGCCACTTTCCCAGGGCAAGGCTTATCCATGCCACTCCAGAAGTGTTGAGCCTTGTGATTTACCCAAATGTGGAAAACTTGACTGCATAATTTGTGCTAGTGGTGATTCAGGATCCCACAGCTCTGCTCAGGGCTGAACACAGACACCATTTTCTGGGGAGACTGATGCAGGACGCCTTTGCTAGGGCTGGACCCAGACCACATTCGCTAGGCCACAACAGGCTTATAAAGTCTGACCAGTGTTCCTCTTCTGGATCAGAGCAAGCCCCAAGCAACACAACAATCCTGCACAATGGCAGTTTTATTTCTTTTTATTTTATTAAATCATAAACACATAGATCATGTATACATTAATGCATTTATAAGGCACATTTGTGCTGATTTCATACAGAATTAGGAACGCTTATATCACACTGGTTAATACATGCCTCATCTCATTTCCTTAATTATTGTGTTAAGACATTTATACTCTATACTAATAGATCTGACATATACCCTTGCATTATGCACCATAGGTGTGATCCCATCATTCACTCTCCCTCATTCTGACCTCCGCCCTCTCCTCCCAACCCTCCCACCTCCCACCTTCATCTTGGGCCATAGTTTGTGATCTATTCTTCATATGAAAGTGTGAGTGATTGTAAACTGGTTTCATAATAGTACTGAGTACATTGGATATTTTTTCTTCCATTCTTGAGATACTTTACTAAGTAGGATATTTTCCAGCTCCATCCATGTAAACGTAAAAGAGGTAAAGTCTCCATCTTTTTGTAAGACTGCATAATATTCCATGGTATATATATATATACCACAATTTATTAACCCATTCATGGGTTGATGGGCACTTGGGCTTCTTCCATGACTTGGCTATTATAAATTGAACTGCAGTGAACAATCTGGTGCAAATATTTTTGTTATAAAGTGATTTTTGGTCTTTTGGATATACACCTAGTAGAGGAATTGCAGAACAAACAGTAGGTCTTCTTTTAGACCCCTGAGTATTCTCCATACTTCTTTCCAAAACAGACATATTAGCTTGCACTCTCACGAGCGGTACAGAAGTGTTCCCTTTTCTCCACATCCACACCAACATCTATAACTTTGGGATTTAAAATTAACTTCTACCTATAAGCTCCTGGCCAATTGTGACATATTCTGGACATACATTTCATCTCCCCCAAACCCCTGCCCCATCCTGTAGGGTAAGAAAAGCAGTATATAACCCGCTAGATCAGTGGTTCTCAACCTTCCTAATATTGCGACCCTTTAATGCAGTTCCTCATGTTGTGGTAAACCCTAACTATAAAATTATTAGCATTGCTACTTCATAACTGTAATTTTGCTACTGTTATGAATCATAATGTAAATATCTGTTATGCAGGATGGCAACCCCTGTGAAAGGGTCATTCGACCCCCAAAAAGGTCACGACTCACAGATTGAGAACTGCTGCACAGAAGGCCCACTTGCCCACTCGAGTTTCCCCTCTGTTGCACCAGAGGTCTTATCTTCCTTCTTATCTATCAGTAAAATCTATCCTGTGGCTCACTCAAGGGGGTCTATGGATTCATTCTTCAATTCTCTAAGACCAAGGACCCAGCGGGGGGGGAGATTCTGTCGACAGTGGGTACCTGTGTTCATGTGCTCCCCTGATTAGAGAGAGAGAGAGAGAGGGAGAGAGAGAGAAAAGACAATCAACAGACGGGGAGAAAATATTTGCAAACCATGATTCTGACAAAGAACCTGAACACACAATACATAAGGATTCCTAGAACTCAATAAGAAAATAATACAATTTTTAAATGGACTAAAATTTTGAACAGGCAGTTGGCCAAAAATTTGTAGCAATGGTAAATAATTACATGGAAAGGTGTTCAACATCATTATCCATTAGAGAAATGCAAAATTAAATCACAATGAAATGCCACTGAACATCTATAAAGAAGAATGGCTACACTAATTGTTAAAGAGGATGTAGGGACATAGGGATGTAAAAGTGCACACCCACTTCGAAAAACAATGTGGTAGTCTCTTAAAAAGTTAAAAAATAGGGCCAGGCACGGTGGCTCATGCGTGTAATCCTAGTATTCTGGGAGGCCAAGGCAGGTGGATTGCCTGAGTCCTGGGTTTGAGATCAGCCTGAGCAAGACCAAGACCCTGTCTATAAAAACAGCCGGGCGTTGTGGCAGGAGACTGTAGTCCCAGCTACTTGGGATGCTGAGGCATGAGAATCACTTGAGCCCAGGAGTTTGCTGTTGCTGTGAACTATGACGCCATGGCAATCTACCGAGGGTAACAAAGAGAGACTCTGTCTAAAAAAGAAAAAAAAAGTTAAAAAACACACTTACCTAATGATTCAGCCACTCCACCTCTAGGTGTTACCCAAGAAAAAGGATAGCATTAAAAGTGTTGCATGGCTACACGAAGACCTATACGTGAAGATTCATGGCAGCTTTATTTTTGACAGCCCAGACCTACATTCAGCTCAAATGCTATCAATATTTGGGCAATTGAAGTATGTCCATGCAATAGAATGCTATATGGCAAAGGAAATGAATTAACTATTCATATAAATTACAAATGTATCTTCAGATAATTACGCTGAGTGAAAGAAGCCAGACAGGTCATTGTACTAATATCTAGGAAATGGAAGCTCATATACAATGATATAAAGCAGATCAATGTTTGCCTGAAATGGGAGAAGAAAGAGTATGAAGTTAAGCAGAATTTGATTATAAAATCCTTATCTTTGAAATGATAAATTCCTGCAAATTTTGGCTAACATAAAACATTTTAAGGTGTTGGGCACCTGTAGGTCAGTGGTTAGGGTGCTGGCCACCTGCTCTGGGGGTGGGTTTGAACCCAGCCTAGGCCTGCTAAACAAAAACAAAAAAAAACTTTTCAAGGATTTGGGGGAAAAGTGGCAAAACATTTCACTGTCTTATTTGTATCCTAGGAAATTTGCCTGAATTGTTTCATCAAAGTTCTCAAACCAAGATAAATAGTAAATTCTTACAGAAAACTTATTGACTTATTTCACCAGGTTGTATAAATACATTAATACGGTAATCATTTATTATTAATACATTAATAATCATTCATTTTTAATCAATATTAATACTAATACAAATTGCTTTAGAATGCCATATGGTGGTAAAAAGAAGGCACCCATAAATGAAGATAAAATAAAAGAGAAAAAATTATTCCTACAATCAGAATAAACAGAAAACAGGCTAACAAAGGCATATAGATCATTTCTTTTCCCTATATAAATTGTAGGTATGTCCCTGGATATATGTTAAAATTGAAATCAAATTAATCTCCTCAGATTTCCTTTAAAAGGCCCTTGAGGTATTGTAGAAACAATTAAGATTATTTTCCTGTGGTTTTTGCATTAATGATATCTTTAATTGCACTTCTCTGCTCGGTGCCCGTTGCTCAATGGTTATGGCACTGGTCACACGCACAGGGAATGGTGGGTTTGAACCCAGCCAGGGCCTGCTGAACAACAATGACAACAACAACAATAAAAATAGCCAGGCATTGTGGTGGATGCCTGTAATCCCAGCTACTTGGGAGGCTGAGGCAAGAGAATGGCTTGAGGCCTAGAGTTTGAAATTGCTGTGAGCTGTGACGCTACAGCACTCTACCAAGGATAAGGCCAAAGGAGACTTTGCCTAAAAAAAAAAATTGCACTTCTCAAAACTGCTTATTATTTCTTATGGAACAGCCTTAAATTTCTTAGTTCTAAAAGGAAAGTAAACTATATCTTTGGATATTCACTTATAATAAAAATGCCTTTGTGGGTAAGAAAAATAACAAGCTTTCTCCTATCAACCATAAGTATATTTTTAAATTTCTTCTCCATAATCTTTTGTCAGTGTTTGAAGTCCTGAGATTTATATAGTTTCTTACTATGCTTACTCAAACCCTAATCAAAAAATAAAAACCTTGTTATTTTATGTTATAAAATACTTTGAATGCATCTTTATGCAAAAATCTTTATCCTATAAAGATTACTTAGTTCATAAATTTTCCCAAGTAGTCACTGATAAATGAGTTGTTATTTCTTTTAAAAAATGAAACAGGTTTAATACTGATTCTAGTGGCTATTTGTTAACATAGCCTACAGAACAATCAATATTTTCTAGAACCACAAATAACCACCAGAACACATCTTAAATTCATTTAATCACTCAGCAACAGACATACTCCAGTAAATGAAATCTGAAAGCAGCCAATTAACAACGTTCTCTTGTGGCATCAACCCACTCCTACCTTTAGAAGTTTGCCAATCCCTGAACACCATGTTCCCCCAGAACCCCTTATGAAATTCACTCCTCTCATAGCCGTTGCTTTTCACAATTCTCTTAAATGCAACCTTGAGTGTTAGTTTTTCAGTATTAGCCTTACTATCTTTGCCTATATACTCTTTACCTTTTGTTTCATGAAGAATTTCATGAGATGAATGATCATCTATTATTTTTATAATAAGCAAAGATTCTCTTTACATTCATATCTCCATCTGGGCTAATTTTTTTTTTTTTTTTTTTTTTTTAGACAGGGCCTGGCTTTGTTGCCCAAGCTAGACTACAGTGGTACTATCAGACCTCACTGCTGGGCTCAAGTGATTCTTCTGCCTCAGCCTCCTGAGTAGCTGGGGCTCCACATGTGTACCACCATGCCAGCTAAATCTTGTTTGGAGATGAGAGCTCACTATATTCCCCAGACTGATTTTGAACTCCTGGGCTCAAGCAGTCCTCCCAGTTTAGCCTCTCAAAGTGCTGGGATTAGAGATGTGAACAATGTGCCCAACCCAGGCTACTTTCTATATTCATAATTAGTCAAATCAACCAATTTGGACAAGAGCATCCAATGAGTATCTCATAGAATTTTTTCATTACCATTCAGGTAAAAGTTCATTTGCCATTGCACAAAAGTTCATTACCATACCAGGCAAAAGACCAATTCCATCCTGAAATAAGATTTTTGACTAAGTAAGTTTTTTTTAATTGAACATTTATTCAACTAAATTGAATACAGTAACTCACTTTAATTTAGTAAAATATATTTAAAATGTTTTATGTTAGCCAAAATTTGCAGGAATTTATCATTGCAAAGATAAGGAT